TCACGCCATACATAGACCTACTGGTTCTTAGTTATGCCACATGGAGGTACATTTTAATTAGAGTTGAAGTATTCGCCATACAGGACGTCAACACTTTTAATTTTGATACTTCACTAGTTCTTTGAACTGCGAAGTTCCTAGATATTTAAGCCAAGTTCTAGAAAATACTGGACAGGAGCATAGGAGATGTTTAATCGTCTCTCCACTTTCCTGCACTTTATGCATGTATCGAAGATTAAGAGTACGACAATATTTTTCTAAAAGCTTTTCCCAACCATCAAAACGTTTTGTAGTTATCGACATATCACATAAATAATCATATACAAATGTCACTATGTATATGTAAATGAAAGTGCATTTTCAGAATTTGAAATTTCCGCTCATAACAGCATTCGTCTAAAAATAATTATTTCAAGAATTTCTAAGCAATGCATTGTTGTCGTCTTATCTGCTAGAGAAGTGCTTCCCAGTGCACTGCTAAAAAATTCATAACGTTTTCATATCAAGTTGTAAATATGTCTGTAGGTGCACATGAGGCATGAGACATCTACGAGTCTACATTAATGAATTTCTAGACACGATCAATGACACTGTCAATTAGCATTGAGTGATAAGTGAAATTGATTGTTTGCATGTGAAGAAATAATTAGAGAAACACAAAATTGTAATTGCAACCGCACTTAACGGTAGTTTTCACTAGATTTGCGCATTTCAGTACTCACCAATCGGTCCAGCTCCTTGAAGCAAGAATATATGCTTTGGTTGCTCAGCTCTTCAGCTTCGGTTACGCTGCAGTTGCCTTCGAAACATCGGGGCGTGAACAGGCCAGGACCTGCACAAATAACATACAACATATGACGAGTAACAGATCTTACTTCTCTTCTTCTTGCTACTAGAGCTTACCATAACTACGTTTGGAAGTGCGCCCGGTTTTCAGTATGCCGCTCGATGTGCTGGATCGTTCGCCACGAACACAGCCACAACCATTCGCTTGACACAATTTGCTCAGCAAACAAGTGCCTAAGGATGTACCATAAGAGATTCGAATACGAACTCAAATATATATGACTCTGATTTATGTATATATGTACCTTCGTAGGATTTTTCACTTCGTCTGGACATCGCATCATTTGTTTGTATACGTTTGTGTTTGAAAATTCCATTTTTGATTTTCAACTTTCACTCAAAATAAGAGAGAAATGACATATATTTGAAACAAACAAACACTCTAGTTATTAGGTTCCAATGAATTCTGTTTATTTTCTCCCAGCAAACACAGAGCATTATATTGTTGTTGTTTCATTTTACCTGTAATTTGGTTTGGTTTTTGGAATATAAATCTTAAAAATTCATATTTTTCTTTGTAAATAAATACATAAATATGACAAATGCGCCATTATGATTTACAAGACAGCATAAAATCCGTTACTTGAGTTGAAAAATATAAAATGTTCACATAAGCAGGTTAGATAATCGAATTAATAAAAATTGGAGAATAATTAGTGAGTAGAAATGCACGAGTTGGTTTTAATATGAATTCGAATTACACTCGCTCTTATGTCTGTTTGTATGTATGCAGCGTGAATAAAAACGTGAATCCACACGCCTTCAGTTCAACAAACTGCTTGAGCCGAGACAACAAAACTACAACAAATAAACAGAACTTTTGTACAATTACGATGATTTATTGTATTTTTACAACTAAGAAAACATGTGCCTATATACATGTTTAGGTGTGCATGTATTGGTTATTATTGAACTCTGATTAATTTCTGTGCAAATATCCGTTATAACTTAATATGATCTAAATGTAGCCCTGTGAGAAGAAACCGAGTAATATGATCATCAGCTAATGAATTCGTTGATCCATTAGGGTATATTCTTATACCTTTAATATTGCAATAACAAACAAAGATGTCAAAAAAGCCTTACATTGAAAGAAAGCGTAATTATAATCAAATTATTTCTGTTTCAATTTTCCCAGGTCATTAATATATGATTCGCATATAGTAGGTCCTTGACCGCTTCCCACAAATTTAGCGGCTACAAAAAAGTTTATAAGTGGTATTGGCAGGGGTGAATTATGATTACTTAACAACTTTTTACGATTTTGTTGCGTTAAGTTCACAATTGATCACAATAATGCTTAAAGCTACTCCACAAACCGAAACGAATAGCTGCGGGAGCTAGGATCCTTGAAGTATTGTCTCGTTTGAGCTGATCTAAGCTGTTCATGCATAAAGTAATATTTTTCGATTTTAGCGAAAACTGCTGTGACTATAAGATTATTTTTTATCAGTTTATAATCAGTTTATTAAAGCAACTGCGTAGTTAAGAAGAACTTTTCTTTCCCGACACACAATTCACGTATCTTTGTTTCCCTAACCTAAAAAGAGCACCAATGGTGTGAAATCCTTTTGCTATAGTGTTGTTGCACTAAAAGTGCGCAAACTTCCATAAAATCACTTACCATTTGAGACATTGTAGATGATGTATAAAAGAATACCGATTTGTAGGAAATTCTGTGCTAAACACTGACAGCTGTTGCCAGCCATCTGCTTAGATCCCACATTGTGGGCGCTTTTATGGATATGTTCATTCATTGTAGTTATCAATAGGAGCGCTATGAATGAATATCAATTGAAAAGCTACGTTCGCTAATGCCGATCGCGATATTTACACGCATTTCACACGTTCAAATATTGTAGTATCCGTAGATATAGTTGTTGGCGCGTGTGGCGACGTACTTTTCTATTGTCATTAACGATTCGTTGGAATTCTTTGTAGATTGGAAGTGATATCGATATATTTATATATACAATATATATGTATGTATAATATATGGCGTGTGAATGCAAGTGTTTCGGTGATTATTTATTGACTTTTTGTTGAGAGACGCGTCATTAGCTTGGCATTAGTGCTGTATACTACTTGAATTTGGGAATATCAACCTTCACTTACCGAGCGGTGAAAAGAAAGTGTGGCTAAACTAATTGCAACTCTTCAAATCTATGTATTGTTCAATTGATAACCCGTTATTGTATGAGTACATTTAAAGAGTCGGCCATGGAAACGAACTTGTTGTGTCATAGGAGGGGTTTATATAATCCTGTAAACACACTGATGTACATTGAATATTTTAATCACTGCTGAATTTAATCTGGAGACATAGTTAGTAAATAAATATGTTTTTATTAATTGTTATTATTGGTTACAGATGTTTTATGATTAATTTTTAAAACATAGTGTTTTTTTTTTTTTGGAAAAGTTAAGAAAAAATGGAAACTATAATTTGTATGTACCTATCTATGTATACATATAAGTGATTCTGCTACACTCACTTAAACAATAAATAAATCTCTAATACGCTCTTATACATTTGGGGTGAAATAATCAAGATGACCTTCGATAGAAGTTGTTATCGAGAGATGAGTAAGTTCTTATGCAAACATTGAAATATTATGATGTAAGTTGGTTATTGAATTGTTAATAAATTAAAAAATCTACTATATAATATTTTATTGAATACTGTGACGAAATATAGGCAAAGTTAGAAAAAAAGTGAATGAAGCATAAAACGTTTTAATTCAGAATTCATAATTGCATACATAATTCCTTGGGGTCATGAGCCTAGTTCTCTGTATTTGCAACATATTGAAAATGCTACAAAGAACAATATAATTCCATCACCAAAACCTATGTCCCTCAAAAATTATGAATGAACTGCAGTATGAGGTGATATATTCATACAATTTGTTCACATCATCTTAATCAACAAAATTGAAACAGCAATACTCCGTTAATTAAGCCATGGCTAACTGAAATGTCTGATTGCTAAATCATTGTAAGTTGAAACAAGAAGAAATAACATTAATATACATTATACTTTAACTTTTTTACTTCCTCAGTTGCACCAATTTTTCTTCAAAGTTAATACAGGATACTCACGTTTCTTTAAAGTGGGCAATTTGAAGAATCTTGAAAGGTTTGTTGTAGGCAACCTCTTAAGCCTCAAGTACTAATACGTCATGATTAAGTTACATTCTAATCAATTAACATTGCTTTATTGGGGCTGAAAATCAATTTTATCACGTTCCTTCGCAATTTTGTGCCAACTATTAACACTTATCGATCAAACTGGTGTATTTAGAAAACACTTTTGTTTTTTCTTTAGGCATACACATTCGTTATCGACTAATGAACTAATAAATTAGTAAAAAATGTAGACAAAGCGATTATTTGGTACTTTAGTCCTTCATTTTAATTGATACAGGTACTTAGCGTAATTATGCTTGCTCTTTCAATTTCATTAAATTTATTCTGTCTATTCTTGTAGAATGCCAATATGCATGTATGTACGTACAAGTATGTATGTATGGTCACCTAGATTTGATAAGCGCTGATTGTTGTCATTAAGCCATCCTAAAAAGACACTCATACGCCGCGGTGGTGGCCGCAAGGGTAACGCGAAGCGCATTCATTTATGTACAGAAAAAAGCCGATCGACACACTAACCTGCTGCCGCGCCGCTCTTCAACATTTCCGTTGTCACTTAGAAAGATAGACAATGTAAATAACATGACTTGGTAATGTTCGACGCCGCGTTGTTACTGTTCTCACTTCTGTTCTCTATTGCGTCGCTGCTGAGGTGGCGTTTACTAACTGTATTGTTGTTTGCCGTTTGTAAGAGATGTTCATCGTTTTTGTTTTTTTCTTGGCTGCTGTAATATTGGCGTTTGCGACAAGTTAATTCGATTGAAGTCTTTCACACTCAACCGCTTGCCGCGACCTCTTTGAATTTGTCTTCGATGCTCTCGGTCGCGCAACATTTTTGAGTACTTTCAAGCCTAATCAAGCTAATCAAGCCGCTCTTACAATTTTCAGCGCCGATATTTTACTGTTATCGCCTTGATCTTTCGCGGCCGCTTCCAAGCCTGCCCAGACGGCCACTGACTAATAATTTTTTTGTTTCATTTCCTCTTATCATATATTGAATAAATGGGATTTCTGTTTCATATGTACTTTCGCCATCACATCCTAAACGTATTGTATAATACAAAAATGTCCGTTTCTAATCGAACTCAGCGCAACCTTACTTGTTTCTTATTATTCCGTTGCAAATACATATAAATCTGAAACTGGTGTGTGTTTATGGGTGTATGTATATATGTAAGTTGGTGGTGCGATATGGTTTATTTGATACTGATCGTTTTCAAAATGTGTTGGAGTTGTTTTAAAAAATTCATTCTGCTAATCGCTGTTAATGGACTTGGACGTGTAACTTTGAAAATGGCGTGAATGTCGCGATTGAAATCAAGTGTATAAATAAAGTGCAATGCATAATTGATAGAAGTGTCACGTAAGGAGAATTGACAGACAACAGAAAACAAGTTTCAAGGATTAAAAACAAAATCTAGAACAAAATGACAGAGGAAAATGGTATATTACAAATCACCATAATGAACATTTTATATGTATATAAACCTGCAAAAAAGGTCTAAACTTCCAAGCGATCGAATATCAAATAAAATTGTTTATAAATTGTGAAATACAAAAGCGCCGCTTAAGTGTAAACTTGGAATTGATTTATCTTAGTTAACTGATTATGTTTCCGGTTTAAATGGTTCAAATACCATATTTCAGGAAAACAAATTTTATAATAAAACAAAAAAGTGCGATTTTACACCCATTTCCATACTGTAGGAGAAGTAGCTAGAAGTATCTCAGCAAATTTGATTGATAAAGCTTTAGCGATTTGTGAGATATGTATATTGAACTTGTTAGTGGTCACTTTAAAACAATTTTTTAAAAATAGATGACCCTCCTTTAAATTAAAATTATTTGTTTTTAAATGCTCAACGCTGTTTTTGCGTTTTTTAACTTAAAATCAGTGTTTTTATTGTAATTTGAAAAGCAGCAAAAATTAGTATTCCTCTGAATCGATAACGTAACTCAAAATATGTTTGGTATTAGTAAGGGTTCTCCTCCTTTAAAATGATTGGATTTTATTGGGTTTCGATTTGCTTAATCTGAGCATTTTATACGCTTTTTCAATATTGCAAATAAATTTTATAACTATTTTGTAGCCTAGTATTTTGTTGGTGTTTAGAACTATATTTTAAGACCCTCATTTGGTAAACAAACTGCCTAGATTCGGATAGTATTGAAAGAATCCTAGTAGGTATTCTTTTGGCGATATCTTAAAATAAAACGGGTTTCTAATCAAAGATAACAATTTAAGTGAAAAATATCCCAAATAGTCAAACTCTACGTACACTTACTTAATTACATAAATACGTCTAAAACAGACAAAAAACTAATTTTTAATTATATATATTTAGTAAAACCAGATATAAATCTAAGTAAGTAAGTAAAGGTGCAAGTGACATTGCTACACTCACTCAAACAATAAATCAATCGCTAATACGCTCTTATACGTGAGGATTGAAATAATTATGATGACCTTCGATAGAAGTTGTTATCGAGAGATGAGTTAGTTCTTAAGCAAACATTGAAATGTTATAATGTAAATTAAGTAATGAGTTGTTAATAAATGTAAATAACATTGAATAGTACAGTTTTAAAATTTTACTGGCGCAGTCGGTAGGATCTACGAAAAAGATGCTTAAGCGAATTTACTTTAAAAAATTAATTATAATTATAATAATTAAAGGAAAGTTATAAAAAAACACACGTTGAATAAAATACAATAATATGTTCAATGTCATGTACAAGTCAGCGTAGTATGTTCAATAACATGTCAATGTCTGTCCAAGTATAGAACAAATTAATGTTCAAGAAAGAGACCTATAAAACATTATTTTGATTTTGACTTGATTTGAAAATAAATGAAAAAATCGGCATAAAACAATAATTGAACTTAACACTGCCCTTATCAATGAGCGTTGAAGAAGAGTTAGAAGCTGTAAACAAAAAATATTGAGCTCGCTTAGTATAAATAAAGAAACAACAATGACTAAATGAAAAGATAAGCGCAATCTCGTCATGCAAACCATTAAGCTGATTCAACCGTTTGACGGCAACATGTAGTCCCTTAGTAGGATGAACATCGACAGCATCGATAGCATTGAAAATAAATAAAATCTTCCATTATCAAATCTCACAATAATACAATAAAAGTTTTCTCCTAGTTGCAATGTTATTTAACAAAAGTGTAAGCAACATTATACTCATTCTTTAATCTAATAGTCTTATTTATGTACATATATTTGCAGATAATAGGCCTAGTAATGGCGTTGCCCAAGGCTGCGAAGCAGAAACAACTGGAAATAGAAAATTGGCGGCCGAAGAAACTCATGAGCTTACAACAATTGTCGATAAATCACTGGAGAATCCGATTAATAATAACCTTGGCCTAACTGAGAAGAAATGGGGTGGTGCGGGACATGACGGTAGCATCGAACCTGTTTCCAATGCTTCTGAGGCAGAAGGACAAGTGAAGGTAAATTTCATGGCATAGATTTAAAAAAAACACAGCTGATAATATTGCATTGAACGAGGGATAGAAGTCTCGATTAATTTTATTATTACGAGGGCGGCGAATAGCTTGTTTGGTTGGTTGAAATGGGACGTTGTAAACATCTAATCCAACCAGCCTCAGTTAACTCCATAATATGCTTATTGGCTTCGCAATCAGTCCCTACAAAAACCTACTTAACACCTCGCTAAATTTGACCCATTTTTTAAGTTCCTTTCTGCCTATCGTCTTCATGCCTTTTAGATTGAAATCGTGAGCACCAAGAAAAATATTTTGTATCAATCGACGAAAAGCTGGGTACTGGAGACCCATCTTAATTGTCACTTGGTTATCTACTTACGTGGTGGTTAAGGCGACAGCCAACTTTGCTTCTTTCGTTATGTTAAAATTCTTGGCCTGAAATACAAAAATTTTATATCTTAGCAGCCTGCTAATGTGCCTATTTTACATAGCGGTAATACTGTTCATCCTGAACCCAGTTGAGTAACACTTAATGCTGATTATAAATATATATTCTAAAGAGACCAGAAATTCAGAAATAAATTGGACGTGAATTTCAACTTGTTATACGTCTGTTTCATCATTTATTTTCGAACAAATTGAAGTGGGTAGCTAAATAAAGAAATGCTTAATTATTAATTATTATAAGCAAGGTAATCGAGTGCACTTGTCGAAAGCCCAATATATGGCAAGTTCGATTGTATTACCAACATTGATATGAAGTACGCTACAATAATATTTTGATTTTTTTTTTTTTTTCAGAAACTACCTTTTCCAAAATCAGTATTCTTTATCATCAGTTATGAGTTCAGCAAAGGTTTCCACTACTATGGCACGCGAAGTAAGTCCGAACTATTTTGTTTTAATAGCGTTTTGAACTTTCTTATTGAATTCGATTATATAATTTCCACCATTCACCTGCAGCCATTCTGGTTTTGTACCTGAGTCGGCAACTTGATTATGACGATGACACTACTACCGTTATATTCCACATCTACGCTATGCTTGGGTACTTTCTATGCGTTTTTGGTGCCATTATATCGGATAGTTGGCTTGGAAGATTCAAAACGATCTTATATCTCTCGTTCATCTATGTTGCTGGTTCAGCTTTGGTTACCCTTGGTGCGGTACCACCATTAAATTTACCTGCGACGACATTTACCATGGTCGGGTTGGGATTAATGTCTTTGGGTTCGGGTCTCGTGAAACCATCCATCTCCGCTTTTGGTGGGGATCAGTTTAAGTTACCCGAGCAAGTGAAGCAAATTACCATCTTTTTCTCACTGTACTACTTTGTAGTCAATGCTGGTTCATTGATTTCGATTACAACTACACCAATTTTACGCGAGGATGTGCACTGCTTCGGCGAAAAGGAGTGTTATTCATTGGCTTTTGGCTTACCAGCTGTGCTCGTAATTGCCTCGATAGGTGAGTACTTATTTTACAATTGCAATTATTCCTATTAATATATGAGTTGTAGTTGTCTTCGCGTTGGGTCGTCCACTTTACAAGAGCAACCCGCCGGCAGGCAATATGGTCGTATTAGTCAGCAAAACCATTGGTGTAAGTTCAGTCTACGAATAAAATGCGATAATATATTATAGTAAAAACCCTATATTTATTTACATTCTTTAGAACGCAATTGCTACCAAATGGCGGGAGAAGAAGACTAATCCTCGCGAACACTGGCTGGACTACGCCGATAAGAAACATGACCGTCAACTGATCGAAGATGTCAAAGTGTTGATGCGTGTTCTCGTACTATATTTGCCCTTGCCCGTTTTCTGGGCTCTCTTCGATCAGCAGGGCTCACGGTGGACTATTCAGGCAACGCGTATGGATGGCGACATGGGCTCGTGGGATATCAAACCAGATCAAATGCAAATGATAAATCCTTTCTTAATTCTGGCCTTCATTCCTCTTTACGAACTGGCTTTCTATCCTCTGCTTGCTTTCGTCGGCATTCGTCGTCCATTGCAAAAGTTAACACTAGGTGGCATCTTTGCGGGTATAGCTTTCGTTGTCTCCGGTCTTGTGGAGCTAAGTCTGGAGGTGAGCTATTTCTATTTTCTTATATTAGTAAATACTTTATCTCTTAATGAAATATATTTCTATAGAACACCTATCCAATTCTGCCAACCGCTGGAAATGCCCAGCTTCGTGTCTATAATGGCGAAAACTGTGACTATGCCATCACCTCTAATTTGACCGGTTTAAATTTCGATATTGCTTCGCTTGATATGTTTGTGGACCGCAACATTAATATTGACTCAACAAATCATCTGTATGTCGAATTTCAGTTCACCGAGAAAGCCGGCCTAAACTGCTTTGAATTCCCAAAACAGACCTTTGTTTTAGATACAATAACAGCACATTATTTGTTTTTGAATTCGAAAAACACCACAGATCCGCTAATATGGGGGATAGACACTGTAAGCAAACCCAGTCGCGGTTATCCGTTTGGACGTACTTTGGCGAACGTTCGGCCAGGTCGGCAAGTTGAGTGGAAGAATAAGAAAGGCTCCATCGAGCACACAGAACCCGCCAATTTGCGCAACGAAACTGAGCTAAAGTCTGGCGAATATGAAATTTCGGTCGATAACACTGTAGCTGCCAAGGCGTATCTCAAAGTTGGTGGCATATACACAGTAATAATAAATGAAGAAACGACCGGTATTTATGAGAGTAATGTCGTAATTGTAACGAACCCGAATTCGATGTCCATTTTCTGGTTAATTCCCCAATACGTAATTATGACACTCGCAGAGGTTATGTTCTCCGTGACTGGCTTAGAGTTTTCATATGCGCAAGCCCCAGTGTCGATGAAATCGGTACTGCAAGCCTGTTGGCTACTTACAGTGGCCTTCGGTAATGTGATCGTCGTGATTATTGCCGAACTGAAACTCTTCGAATCGCAAGCCTACGAGTTCTTCCTCTTCGCTGGTTTTATGTTTGTCGATATGATCATATTTATGTTTGTTGCTTATCGGTACAAACCAAATAATCCAGCCTCTCAAAGTGAAGCTGAGCCATTGACGGAAAAAACCGATAAGGTAGGCATTGACAATGTGGCCAAAACGATTGACGATTAGGTTCAAATTCTGTATGTTAAATCGTACAATATGTAATTTAACGTCAATTAATACGACTAATGGTTTGAGACACAGTGAATTTATAATTTAATACATAGAAGGTAAATATTTGAGAATATAAACAAAAACAGTGGAATTAAAATAAGTTGAACTTCACATTAACTTAGAAACTTTGTTTATTTTCAATAGGTCTAAAGAGCTTAATGGAAGCTTAAGAAAAGTGCGATCGCTTTTTCCCATTTCTCTATCAATCCCTTAAAAATAAACACCTGCACAAGCAGATTCGTTTTTCTTGAAGGTGTGAGATTCCGTGAAATAGCCTATATTTGCTTTGATTCGGTTTAGCAAATGACCAACATTAACTCGAGACCATGTGTTCAAAGAGCTCATGAGCAATTTTCATTGCCTTTTGAGCGAATGCGACGCTACAATAAAAGGAAACGTAAGGAAGTATGCTAGTGCGATCTGTGTGAAAAAGTGCATTCAAATGAGAAGTGAAGAAGAAGATCGCTGCGGTGATTGTTTAAAGGCGATAAGTGTGTTTCTTGTCAGGGTAAGTGCCGAACAGACGTCAGGAATTCCGTTAGCGTGATTACTATCGCATTCACAATTTGTATTTACTCGCAATCGAGTTCTCATACAAGTATTTCAATATAATCACACGATTTTTTCACAGCTACCGAAGGAAATTAAGCTTATCGCAGATTAATGTCGGCAAGTCTCTGAACTTTGCTCGCGTCTTTTAAATATATTCAATTATGCACGTGTCTATATGTTTGTATGTAGGTATTAAATTAACTACTTACTGATAATTTTGCAAAAGTATCATAAAAGTATTAGAAGCGTCGTAGGCACGGGCGGTATAATTTGATTCCTGATTCTCACTCACGATTTGATGACTTGGAATGTTTAGTGATTGATTACAGCATGTGACTAATTGCGGAAATAAAACAAATCTAAAGTATTTGCGACTGTTTTGTTTCATAAGTTATAGAGATCATTTAAATGTATGGCACCTCATAGATTATCCATACATATGTATATATGTGAGTATGTACGTTATTCTCGAAAGGGATTCCTTTCATTTTTTATATAGATTCTAGATAGGCTTCTAAAGGTATAATTACGATTTTTGGCATATTTGTGAAATGAAAGAGGAAAATAGCACAATATGCCTATACACTTTCAGGTTAAATCCTATATTTCAGGAACTATTCGACCACTTTCAACCAAGAAACTAGACACCAAATATGTGAACCTAAGTGCTTATGGCTGATTTTTTACCGTACATACCGGTCAGTATGTGAATTCTATGTAGTATTAAAATTCGGGAAGAATATTTTTGTGATAACAGCATGCCCTCAAAATATCCATATTGAAGTATGTATATAGAACTGCCTACTCAGAGTTTTAAATTTCCGCTCATATTTTTATTCGTCTAAAATTAATTAGTTTAAGAATTTCTAAGCAATGCATTGTTGTCGTCTTATCTGCTAGAGAAGTGCATCCCAGTGCCCTGCTAAAAACATTCATAACGTTTTCATATCAAACTGTAAATATGTCTGTAGGTGCACATGAGGCATGAGACATCTACGAGTCTACATTAATTAATTTCTAGACACGATCAATGACACTGTCCATTAGCATTGAGTGATAAGTGAAATTGATTGTTTGCATGTTTAACGGTAGTTTTCATAGATTTGCGCATTTCAGTACTCACCAATCGGTCCAGCTTCTTGAAGCAAGAATATATGCTTTGGTTGCTCAGCTCTTCTGCTTCGGTTACGCTGCAGTTGCCTTCGAAACATCGGGGTGTGAACAGGCCAGGACCTGCACAAATAACAGACTTATCATAACTTCGCTTCGAAGTGAGCCCGGTTTTCAGTATGTCGCTCGATGTGCTGGATCGTTCGCCACGAACACAGCCACAACCATTCGCATGACACAATTTGCTCAGCAAACAAGTGCCTAAGGATGTACCATAAGAGATTCGAATACGAACTCAAATATATATGACTCGGATTTATGTATATATGTACCTTCGTAGGATTTTTCACTTCGTCTGGACATCGCATCATTTGTTTGTATACGTTTGTGTTTGAAAATTCCATTTTTGATTTTCAACTTTCACTCAAAATAAGAGAGAAATGACATATATTTGAAACAAACAAACACTCTAGTTATTAGGTTCCAATGAATTCTCCCAGCAAACACAGAGCATTATATTGTTGTTGTTTCATTTTACCTGTAATTTGGTTTGGTTTTTGGAATATAAATCTTAAAAATTCACATTTTTTATTCAAAACAAATACATAAATATGACAAATGCGCCATTATGATTTACAAGACACCATAAAATCCGTTACTTGAGTTGAAAAATGTAAAATGTTCACATAAGCAGGTTAGATAATCGGATTAATAAAAATTTGAGAATAATTAGTGAGTAGAAATGCACAAGTTGGTTTTAATATGAATTCGAATTACACTCGCTCTTATGTCTGTTTGTATGTATGGCGCGTGAATAAAAACGTGGACAACGAAACTACAACAAATAAACAGAACTTTTATACAATTACGCTGATTTATTGTATTCTTACAGTTAAGAAAATATGTATGTATATACGAGTATATACGTGGGTGGGTCTGTGCATGTACTGATTATTATTGAATTCTGATTATTTTCTATAAAAATGTTCATTTATAAAAGCACATCGCAGGCGAATTTCTTTAGTTAAGCTGCATACAATTTTAAGGGAAGCAAAACACTCCAACTCTGAAATGGACATATATACGTATATTATATAAATTTATATTTTAATATGCACCGATATTCTGGAATGGTCAGCGTAAATATGCCCATAGCTCTAGACCTGCCGCAAATCAAATCATTGAAAATTTTGCGCTTCCGTCCGCTCCAGAAGCGTTTCCGATTAGAAATTAAAGAAAAATATATTAGTCAAGTAAAAAGTTCGTTCGGTTTTTATCTAAGAGATGGCGTTATTGTCCATAGTACTAGTGTTACGTCTCGCATCATGTCATACTATACGGCGCTGAAAACGTGTTTATTCGCGCTAAAAGTTTGTCTTTGACAGTTTTTCGATTGATTGACTCAGTACGTTGTGAGCGCTCGTCAAAGATGGACACCAGCAAAGAGAAAACTCGTTATATTTTACAATTTTTCTTCGACCGAGGCGAAAAAGCAGCCAAAGCGGCTGAAAAAATTAATTTAGTTTGTGGGTCCGATACTGTAAACGAATATGTAGCACAAAAGGGGTTTGCTAGGTTCCGTTCCGGTAATTTCGATGTCAAAGATGCACCACGCGTCGGGAGGCCTGTCGTCGAAAATTGTGATTAAATCATGGACATAGTTGAAACAGACTGTCACGTGAGTTGGATTCAAAGAGAAGCTCGATGCCACACGAACTAATGCAAAAAAAAACATGATTGACCGAATTTCCATCTGCGAATCGCTGCTGAATCGCAACAAAATCGACCCGTTTCTGAAGCGGATTGTGACTGACGATGAAAAATGGGTCACTTACGACAACATCGAACGCAAACGGTCGTGGTTAAAGCTCGGGGAAGCGGCCCAGACGGTGGCCAAGACCGGATTGACGGCCAGGAAAGTTTTGCTGTGTGTTTGGTGGGATTGGCAAGGAATCATCTACTACGAGCTGCTCCCCTATGGCCAAAAGCTCAATTCGGCGCTCTACTGCCAACAACTGGACCGCTTGAAGGCAGCACTCATCCAGAAGAGGCCATCTTTGACCAACAGAGGCCGAATTGTGTTTCACCAGGACAACGCGAGGCCATACACGTCTTTGGTGGCGCGCCAGAAGCTCCGGGAGCTCGGATGGGAGCTGCACCCACCATATAGACTCAGCTCGTTGTTCTGATCATCATTTATATATGTATTATGTACATATCGCCAAAAATTACTCTGGGTATAAATATGCAAGTTTCGAAGCTTCAAGCTTTGATAATGATATCTAGTTTAAAGCTTGGATTGCTCGGTATAGGTCAGAATTATCTAAGTCATCAATATTGGGTTGAATGAAAATGAGGTATGTACCGCGATAGGGTCCATTGTGCCCAATAATATAGGGTTAGCAAACGATCGGTCACTGACCAAACAAAATCAATGATGTCAACTCTCACTCCCAATTTTGCCAAGCGTAACATCTCTAGCAGAAAAGTTGTCATTTTATTGAAGCAACCTCGTAGTTAAGAATAACTTTTCCTTTCCAACAAACAATTCACTTAATTTGGAATTTTTTTTACCCAAATAGAGAGGCGACGGTGTGATTTCCTTTTGCTATAATGTTGTTCCATTAAAAAGTTCGCAGAATTCTAAAAATCCACTTACCATTTGGGATTTCTTGGCCGACGTACAAAAGATCTTTCAAGCGCTGATTTTTATACTCTTGCAACATGTTGCTACAGAGTATAATAGTTTTATTCACCTGACGGTTGTTTGTATCATCTAAAACTAATCGAGATAGTTATCGGGTTATATGTATATATATAATGATTAGTATGACGAGACGAGTTGATCTTCGTTGCATGTTTGTTCGTCCGTCAGTTCGTTCGTCCGTCTGATTTATGATGACCTATTATATAAGTTAATGAGAAATAAATTTGATTGTTATCCATTCATGATTTCGTCGAACAATGAATGTTGGATTCTTTCGCAAAATTTTTATACCCTTGCAACATGTTGCTATAGAATATAATACCATAGTTTTGTTCACCAAACCGTTGTTTGTATCACCTAAAACTAATCGAGATATATATAGAGGTATATATATAAATGATCAGATCGTCCGTGTGTGTAAGCGATAACTTGAGTAAAAATTGAGATATCTTAATGAAACTTGGTACACATGTTTCTTGGTACCGTAGAACGGTTGGTATTGCAGATGGGCGTAATCGGACCACTGCCACGTCCACAAAACGCCATTAATCGAGAACCTATAAATTGTTATAACTAAACCACAAAGTTCTAATTATTTTAATGAATTTAGTTTTGCTAATAACAGTGTATCTTTGTGCCTAAAATGTACAAAATCGAACGAAAACTTGTCTTTGCCCCTATATAACTGATATTCGGGATTTTGAAACATCCGGCTGCCTTTGTATATGTATATTTAAAAATTGCTTGAAAATAAGTTCTCAAGTATACCTGAGCAATGCCAAAAAGTATTGCAATCAGCCCTTCCATTTTTATGCCCCAATGATTTTTAGTACAATTTTCGCTGCTTAATAAAACTGAGTAAGTCTATGACCTTCAATTAAGTTAATATGATATCAAATTTGATTGTAATCTATTCACTATTTCGTCGAACAATGAAGTTGAACCTTTTCGCTACATTTCCTAATATAAAGTTTTGCTAACACCTGAAGGTATTTCCACGGCTTTGATCCTGGCAAGTTTCAAGAGTATGAAATGTTCGGTTACACCGGAACTTAGCCCATCCTTACTTGTTGAATACCGATTTGTGAGGAATTCTGTGCTAAACACTGACAGCTGTTGCCAGCCATCTGCTTAACTCCCACATTGTGGGCGCTTTTATGGATATGTTTCATTCACTGTAGTTATCAATAGGAGCGCTCTTAATGAATATCAATTGAAAAGCTACGTCCGCTAATGCCGATCGCGATATTTACACGCATTTCACACGTTCAAATATTGTAGTATCCGTAGATATAGTTGTTGGCGCGTGTGGCGACGTACTTTTCTATTGTCATTAGCGATTCGTTGGAATTCTTTGTAGATTGGAAGTGATATCGATATATTTATATATACAATATATATGTATGTATAATATATGGCGTGTGAATGCAAGTGTTTCGGTGATTATTTATTGACTTTTTGTTGAGAGACGCGTCATTAGCTCGGCATTAGTGCTGTATACTACTTGAATTTGAGAAGATCAACCTTCACTTACCGAGCGGTGAAAAGAAAGTGTGGCTAAACTAATTGCAACTCTTCAAATCTATGTATTGTTCAACTGATAACTCATTATTTTATGGGTTCATTTAAAAAGTCGGCCATGGAAACGGACTATTTGCACTGCGCATACATGAGGGTGCCACGGAGCCAGACTATCTACGTTTTCGATGATAAGTGCTTATCGTGCGGAACTTATGTTCATAAAAAGGGTATATATAAAACAGTGATGTATATAATCTGGGAACATAACTAGTGAAAAAATATTTTTATTGAATTGAATGAAAATTTCAATTGTTACAAATGTTTTAAGCTAAGCATTTCTAGTGTGACACCTATTAAGGATAAAATTTAAATTTTTTGTTGCTTTTCTTCTAAGTAACCTAATCCATTTTGAAGGTTGATTTTTCAAGCAACGTTACTAGAAAGAACTAGCAAAACCTTTTCGGTTGGATGCAAACCGTTGATATAAGAAATGCTCCTGTGAAGGGTATTATAACTTCGGTTTAGTCGAAGTTAACGTTTTTTCTTGTTAATAGCCATTTTGAAGCTTGAAGCCGCGTTGTTGCCAACATACTTCTAAATCTCAAGTACTAATACGTCAAAGCTCACTTACATTCTAATCAATTTAGCATCGCTTTATTGCGTCTATAAATCAATTTTATCACGTTTCTTCGCAATTTTGTTCGAACTATTAACGTTTGTGTAATTAACCCGGTTTGTAAATTATCGATAAAATTAGTGTGTTTAGCTATAATTTTTGTTTTTTCTTTACAGTAAGGTCTTTGCAATTTCATTTTTGATTTGATTTGAGTTGATCGACTCTAAAGGCAATCCAATTTTTTTTTATAATTTTAACTGCTTCCATTTCATATGCATCAAAATTCACTCCAGGGAGCGACACTCTCACTTTCTCTCGCCATAACGAGAAACCAGTTGAAGAGTTAAGAAGAAGTTGAAGACATTTGCCAGTGCCTCACGTGAACGAATTCATAAAAGTTGGTATATAATTACTGAAACTTTTATTTATTTGCACGCGATTTATCGAAAATAAGTGCAATTTATAAGCATATAAATCGAATAAAAAACGCTTTTATTTTTGATAACGAACCCGGACACTACGTTACAGATACTGATTTAACGAAATTAATTTTCTCCATACTTTTGTTAAAAATGCTTCTTTTTTTTGCTTACTTAGCCAAAGGTGTGAGCATTGGCTATTGCTAGCACTAAGGGCAAGACGCAT